TCCAGAACACTTAATTGTGCTCATGAGGAACCTGTACAAGAGGTAGTCGTTTGAAAAGAACAAGGAGATATTGCATGGTTTAAAATCAGGAAAGGTGTGTGTCAGGGTTGTATCCTTTTCACCATACTTATTCAATCTGTATGCTGAGCAAGTAATCCAAGAAGTTTGACTATACGAAGAAGAACTCGGTATCAGAATTGGAGGAAGACTCATTAACAACCTGAAATATGCAGATGAAAACACAACCTTGCCTGCTGAAAGCTAAGAGGACTTGAAACACTTTCTGAAGAAGATCAAAGACTACAGCCTTCAGTATGGATTACACCTCAACATAAAGAAAACAAAAATCATCACAAATGGACCAATAAGCAAAATTATGATAAATGGAGAAAAGATTGAAGTTGTCAAGGATTTCATTCTACTTGGATCCACAATCAACGGCCATGGAAGCAGCAGACAAGATATCAAACGACATACTGCATTGGGAAAATCAGCTGCAAAAGATCTCTTAAAATGTTGAAAAGCAAAGACGTCAATTTGAGAACTAAAGTGTGCCTGACCCAAGCCATGATATTTTCAGTCGCCTCATACGCATGCGAAAGCAAGACAATGAGTAAGGAAAACAGAAGAATTGATGCCTTTGAATCATGGTGTTGGCGAAGAATATTGCGTATACCATGGACTTCTAGAAGAATGAACAAGTCTGTCTTGGAGGAAATACAGCCAGAATGCTCCTTGGAAGTGAGGATGGTGAGACTTTGTCTCATGTATTTTGGACATGTTATCAGGAGGGACCAGTCCCTGGAGAAGGACATGATGCTTGGTAAGCAGAGGGTCAGCAAAAAAGAGGAAGACGTTCGACTAGATGGATTGACACAATGGCTACAATAATGAGCTCAAACATAGCAACAATTGTGAGGATAGTGCAGGACCCAGCAGTGTTTCATTCTATTGCACATAGGGCCTCCATGAATCAGAACCGACTAGACAGCACCTGACAACAACAAGAAATCTTCCCACGACTATTCTATCACCAAAAACTATCTGTTCCATCTCTCCAAATAGGTTTTAAACCTGTCTGCTTCTCTCCACCTTCCCTACAACCACCTGAGTCAAAGCCACTAGCTTCTCTCCCTGGACTATTGCAAGAGCCTCCTTTCTGGTCCCATGGTATCCCCTTCTGCCCCTCCAGCATCCACCCTTCCCACAGCAGTCAGAGGGATCTACTTAATACACAAATCAGATCACATCTGTGCCCTGCTCAAAATCTTTCAGTGGCTTCTCAGGAAATCCTACCTCCTGCTATTGTCTCCTAGACCTCCCCTCCATGATCTGGCCCTTGCCTACCTTTTGAATCTCATCTCCTACAATAGCTGCTGATTCCCCAACAGCCAGCACAGAGCCTGACACAGAGTAGACAATAATTAAGTTCTGAAGAAATTAAGGCAAGAACGAATGAATAAACAGACTTTGTAGAGGAAGCCATATTTGAGGTGAGCACTAACGTGAGGTAGGATTTCTCAGGCATCAAGGGTTCAGGTGTGTGGAATGTTCTAAATGTGGGCAATAGCACCTTCAAGGACATGAGCTCCAGGTGCAGCATGAGAGGCAGCATAAATAAGCTGGAAGGCAGGTCTGTACAAAGCAGCAGTTCTCAAAGTTGAGCATGCATCAGAATACCCTGGAAAGCTTGTTAAAACACACCCACACAGATTGCTGGGACCCATTCTCAGGGATGCCAATGCATAGATCTGAGGTAAGGTCTGAGAATTTGCATTTCTTACAAGTTCTCAGGTGATGCTGATGCTGCTGGCCCAGGGACCACACTTTGAGAACGACTCGTATAAAACATGCTAAAGGAAGCCTCGGTGCTGAGGAGCAGAGGAAGATAGCACTGGGGAAGTCAACTGAGACCGCTTCATGACAAGCTGAGAGCAGTTTCAACTGGCATAGCCGGTGGCCACCCCTTCCAACCCGAACATACCCCATGACCTACCTTGACCTCTAGCTGCCCACTCGCCTGCTCCTCAACCCAGGCTACCCTCCCTGGGCAGAATATTAAGCTACGAAGGTATCTCCTTTCTCTTTCCATCAAAACTTACTGGTCCTGAATCCCACTCCCTCAAGGCCACCGATCTCACATAGCAATTCACACTAATGCTGCTCTGGCAAACAATGGGTCTTTTCAACAGGAGACCTGCGTTGTCTTAGCACTGGTGGTGCAATCACAGGCTCTGTTTGGGCTGGAAGGAGCGAGAGTTGGAGGAGAGGACCTCCTCGGTGCACCTCCCATCATGCCATGCAGCAAGCTGCCAGCCTGCTCACCTTTCACGTTTACCCTTGACAGGGAGTATTAGTTTATACCTTTTTTCCAATAGAAAGGAGGGCAGGAGCGGTTCCAGGGTTATGAATAAGTATACTTGTCTTCATAGCATCGGCCTAGTGACTGCACATCTTACATTCAGTGTTTTTATTACCTTTTCCCTGGGAAAGAAAATTTGATCTGTGAGGCAAAGTGAACTTGCATCCACTTCAACCATAAATCATAGAGGACCAGACAATTAATGAACATCTCTTGTGGTTTCAAATACAAAAGATCTTTCTGCTCTGGGGCTTGACTGCAAAATTCTCAGCAGTACAAGTCCTTGGCATACTCAAAGCTGGACGCACAGGTCTGCCTCCAACTCTTCTCAGCTTATGGGCTCTGAAATGAAGGCTCTAGATCTGGAGTGGGAGATGATGTGATATGGTGTGGTGTGGTTTAGCAGCCTCATACCCACTAGAGAAGACTTCTCTGTATCTTCATGATATAGCCCACACAAGAACCAGGAGTCCTGGCTGTTCTACGTGACAGGAAAAAGGTAGAACACAATCCTCCAAAACACAGTCTCTCTCTTGAGTCCAATGTGCCTTTTAGGTTCCAAAGCTGATTTCAAAAATATGCACACTTTCAAGCCACATTGACCTCATTTGGCATTCTGGCTCTGCCACTTTCCAGCTGTGTGATTTTGGGCAAAGCTCTCTGAGCCTCAGCATCATCATCTGTAAAATGCAGAGGCATTGAATGAGTCATGAATGTTAAGTATCTAGTTCAGTGTGTGGGGCACAGTCAACAATTTGGTATCTGTTTAACAAGTGGGTCCCCAGGAATAAAAAACTTAGTGTTTTCCAATTTCCCTGGTGTAAATACTCTCACCATGGCTGATTTCAAGCCACCAACATGCTGTCACTGAATGCAGAGCTTGGAAGAGATGTACAACAGCTCACCATTAAGTAGTGTTTCCACCATACAGATACAATAGAAACAAATAACCTCTCATGAACAGAGAGAATAGTAAAACAATTTGTGAGCAATGAATTTTGAATATTATTACCTTTGTTTCTAATATAATTTGTTTAATGTTAAGTTTGCATGATTTAATTTTTGACAATGGCTGTGTTTAACAACCAGGGCACAAAACTCCTGAAAATTTAACAATCAGCTCTCGCAAGTCCATACAAGCCAGCACAAGCCAGCTCCAGCACACAGCTGGGCACATCTGTAGGTGCTTAGTAAACACGGCTTCCTTTCCCAATTCCCTTCCTGTCCTCAGCCCTGGGGAAGATTTCATGAAAGTTTTCCCAGGTAGTAACAAGGATGTTCCCTGCTCCATTGCAGCCTGCAGCCACCGCAAGCTTTACTTTTGGTCTCCACCTTCTTGGCCACCCTGTGCTAACGCTCAGCCAGGACCCTACCTCTCATAATACCGCCTGACTGGCCTTTTCTACAGCCAAGAGGCCAATGAGCCACTAACGCGGGAGAGGATGTTGCTTCTGCTAAGCTGAAGGCTACTGGGAGAGAACAGTGATGGAGTCTCAATGGCTGAATGGTGGAGACTGTTGGTTTATTTTAGGATCCCTATCCATGAAGCAGTAGCACAGCCAGCAAGCTGTACTTTGGCAAGTCAAGGCCTGCAATTAGCCTCCACTTGAGGATGGAATAAACCCCTGGTTGTTATTCAACAACAGCTAAAGCAGAAAGGTCTCCAGCTCCCCAGAACCCTAGCACTGCATGAGCCTCCTAGAAGGTACTACCATGGAGCCCTGGGGGTGAAGAGGTTAAATACTTAGGCTGCTAACCAAAAGGTCAGCAATTTGAATCCACTAGCTGCTCCTTGGAAACCCTATGGAACAGTTCTACCCTATCCTATAGGGTCGCTATGAGTCGGAATCAACTTGATGGCAATCAACAACAACAACACCCACTACCATGGAGTCACTGGGTGGTGTGAACATTTAATGAGCTTGGCTGCAACCGAAAGGTTGAAAGTTCAAGTCCACCCAGAGGTGCCTCAGAAAAAAGGCCTGACACACATGGGGTCACCTCGGGTCAGAGTTGACTCAACAGCAACTGGTTTTGGTATCCTCTACCATATGTAGGGGAAACCCTGGTGGTGTAGTGGTTAAGAGTTTGGCTGCTAACCAAAAGGTCGGCAGTTTGAATCCACCAGGTGCTCCTTAGAAACCCTATGGGGCAGTTCTACTCTGTCCTATAGGGTCACTATGAATTGGAATTGACTTGATGGCAATGGGTTTGGTTTGGTTTGGTTTACCATATTTAGAGTCATACAGTTCTGGAAAAGCAGAGAGATGGCTGAAAATGCAATCACTCTAAGTCTATGACCAGATGTTAAAAGCCACTAAGGCCAGAGAAGTATCATTTAAGGAGCCAGAAGCTCTTCCCTAGAGAACGGAAATCTCACCCCTGTGACAGTGAACACGTCTACCTTTGAATTATCTTTTTGCTCCAAAAATCCAACCCTAAAAACTTTTAGAAGACATCATATTTTGTGCTAATTTATTGTTTGTTTATCTGCTTCCCCTTTTTTGAGAGAGACACAATTCTAAAAACATTTGCTGTAAGAAAGGTGCTCTGAGTAACCCAGAACATAAACTGGGGGGTAAGTGACAGAAGATTTCCCCAGTGACCTTGTCTCCTTTGGTGTGCGTGATCATTCTAGGTGGGCGAGTCTATCTTGGAAAATGCCCGGCTCATGCTGCTGATGGAGAATATCCAGGCGGGTGCAGACAACTTTAAAGAGAGGTAAAGCTCTACTGGGTGGTGCAAATGGTTAAAATACACTCGGCTGTTATCTGAAAGTTTGGTGATTCGAGTCTACCCAGAGGAGCCTCAGAAGAAAGTCATGGCTGTCTACTTTCAAAAAATCAGCCATTGAAAACTGTATGGAGCACATTTCTACTCTGACACATGGGGTCACCATGAGTCAAAATTGACTGCATGACAGCTGTTTTTTTGTTTGTTTGTTTTAATGCTCTACTGCAAAAAGGACAGCCCCTCCATACTCCTGGATTCCTGGGATGCTTTCCTGGAGTCTGCATCATTTACCCTCAACCTCAGGGAAGGCTGGGGTGGGATAACAAAGGTCCCAGAGAATTCAGAGCCAAGATCGCCTAGCTCAACCCCTCCTTATATACACAAACAAGGTCCCAAGGGCTTGGTTTAGAGCAGGGGTTCTCAAACTCTAGTATGCATTAGAGTCACCTGGCGGGGTGGGGGACTTATAGAAAACACAGATTGCTGGGCCCACCCCCAAAGTCTCTGATTCAGCACACCTGGGGTGGGGCCCAAGAATGTACATTTATAACAAGTTCCTGGTGATGCTGATGCTGCTGGTCCTGGTACCACACTTTGAGAACCACTGGTTTAGACAAATGATTCTCAGCCATGACTGCACATTGGAATTACTAGGGGCACTTAAAATGTCAGTGCACAAGCCCCACAGACTAATTGTCAAGATCCTTGGGGTTAGGACCCCGGCCTCAGTATTTTTGGAAGTTCACCAGGTGGTCTCAATTTGCATCCGGGCTTGAGAATCACTTCTCTGAAGTCTAATACAGAGTTTCCTAGAGTGTGGTGTGTTATACTGCTGATGCAGATCATTTAATCCACAAGGATAAGCATTTTGTTTTTAATAGTTATGTATAGTTACCTTCTGTTTATAATCCATGAGACTGTTTTCTCACTTATAATAGCACCATTTATAGTAGCAAGTTTATAATAATATAAACAACTTTAAAAATTTATTTATTTAAAATGTACTTTTTAAGTACCTATAAATTTAAGGGAAAATGTTAAGTAAATGATGGCACCGGAGACAGGCATTTAGAGCAAAATCATAAAGGCAAGTGAAGTTGGGAAACACTGGTCTAAGGGAGAAGCAAAATGAAGAAGACTCTTTTATGGATGAACACAGTAATTCTGAGATTATCCTGTGGGGAAGGACATCCTGGAAGTTAAACAAATGGATGGGTGATTGGGATTGTTATTCGAAGGAACGTTTCCGTAAATTGGTAAAGACAAAAGAATAAAGGCATTTAATTGGAGGTCTTTGGGGAAGACTGACCCCATAATCTCTTATGATAAGAAGGGTATTGTGATGAGAAGGAGAATCCCTACCACCCCATCACACCCTACATCACTTTGTTTCTCCATCTGCTAAATGGACCTCCACTAGGGGCCACTCTGGGGCCAAGGCAACTCTCAGGCAGCCAGGGCTTCTGGGTTGCACGGCACTGTGCTAGCCAAGATCACAGGACCATAAAGAAGTGGAGACATCACCCAGCCACTGACAGTTCATTGTACAATTAAAGATAAAAACCAGCAGACATGAAACCATTTGCACTAAATTTAAGATAAAATTTGATTGTGTAAAATTAAGGTAAGACCTTGTTATGGATTGAATTGTGTTCCTCAAAAATTTTGTTGTAAATCCTAACCCCTATACCTGTGGAGGAGCCCTGGTGGCTTAGTGGTTAAGAGCTCGGCTGCTAACCAAAAGGTCAGCAGTTCGAATCCACTAGCCACTCCTTGGAAACCCTATGGGGCAGTTCTACTCTGTCCTATAGGGTCACTATGAGTCAGAATCTACTCAATGGCAATGGGTTTCATTTTAAGGGTTTTATACCTGTGGATGTAACCCCATTTGGGAATAGGGTTGTCTTTGTTATGTTAATGAGGCCATATCAGTGTAGGGTGTGTCTTAAGCCAATCATGTTTGAGATTATAAAACAGCAAATTAGGCACTGAAGGAGCCCTGGTGGTGCAGTGATTAAGAGCTCGGCTGCTAAACAAAATGATCAGCAGTTCGAATCCACCAGCGGCTCCTCGGAAACCGTATGGGACAGTTCTATTCTGTCCTATAGGGTCACTATGAGTCAGAATCAACTTGACGGCAATGGGTTGGGTTTGGTTTTGGTTTAGGCACTGAATGGGGGGAGATAGATGCCATCAGGAGATCTCTAAGGAATGCCAAGAAGAACGCTAGAGAAGCTGAGACAAGAATTTTCCCCCTAGAGCAGACAGAGAGAGCCTTGCCCTGGAGCTAGTGCCCTTAATTTGGGCTTCTAGCCTCCTAAACTGTGAGAAAATAAATTTCTGTTTTTTAAAGTCACCCACTTGTGGTATTTCTATTACAGCAGCACTAAGAAACTAAGACAGACCTGAACTGAAATTTCTTCCACTCATTCATTCATGTTTTCATTTATGCCTTTATTCAATCGTACATACATTTGTGCAGTCATTCAACAAAGCAGAATGCAACTCAGTGAAAGCAGGGGCTTGGTCTCCTTTGTTCCCCATTGTATCACCACCACCTATAACAGTGCCAGGCCCAAGAGAGATGTTGAACAAATATTTGTTGAATGAATAAATACATTCACTAATAATTTGAACGTCTGCTTGATGCCAGGCCCCATGCTAGGTACTGGGAATGAAGCGTATCAGACATGGCCCCTGACCTCAAGTAGCTCACAGTTTAGTGGCAAAGACAGAGGAGTAAACAGACAATGGCATTACAGAGGAACGTGCCACCATTGAGACGAGTACAGGTGAGATGGGGACCCTTGACCAGGCCAGGTGATGCCTGATTTGAGTACTAAAGCCCAAGTAGGAGTTGACCAGGCAAATAAAGGAGGGGCGACTTCCCAGGCAGAGGGGACAACGTGTGCAAAGGCAGGAAGACACAAGAAAGCAAGGAGCAGTAGTGGAATTTCAATAGCTTGTTAAAACCACTACATATGGAGTAAATGAAGGAGGGATAACTGATGAGGCTTGAGAACTAGTTACCAAAGAGTCTGGAAATTACCCTGAGAGCAGGGGAGACCCAGAAGAGGGATTTGAGCAGCCGGCCCCATCGTGACCAGATTTTAGCTTTATATTGGGGGAAAGGAGAAGCAGGGCGTATGAGCTGACACACTGGGAGTGAAGGGACTGGGCTGATGGAAGGGCAGGTTCTGTATTGGAGATTAGTGGTTGGAAAGGTAAGGGGAGATCAGATTATTGAGGGATCATAAAATGACACGTAAGGCTTCTGAGCAGAGAAGTGACTTGTGGTTAAGAACAGTCAGTCTGGGGATAATGCTGTAGGTCTGGGAAGACAAAGGGGAGGACACCATAGGTCAGGCATGAGTTGACAAGGGCCTGCCTGGGATGGTAGCAGTGGGCAGATTTAAGGGACAAGTCAAAGAAATAATTGGCACAGTTTGACAATTATCTACATATACCGCCTGAAAAGAAAAGGGTACAGCTTGAAAGAGAAGGCGAAGCTAAGTTGCAGGTTTTGAACCTGGGTTATTTAGAAGACTTGTGGTTCTATTTACTGCGGTAGAAAACTGGGGAGGGAAAGCTTGTCTAAAGCTTCTTGTGGGGAGGGGTAGGTAATGAGTTTGGTTTTGAGCAAGCTAAGTTTGAGCTGATGATGGTGAAGCAACCAAAGCAAACATTAGGGGAGGTCACTGGAGAGGCTGGGCTGGAGTGGCCTGCGGGTCAAGACAGTTTGGGTGTCACAAGCACAGAAGTGCTAATTGAAGACTTAATAATAGAGGGGAAACCGGAAAGAGTATATAGCAAGAGAAAGCGAAAAGCTTAACAGCAGCCTTGGGGATATCACAGAGGTATTCCAAACCCTTAGACGGATTCCAAAAAAAAACAGGTCTGTCGGTGTCTTAGTTATCTAGCGTTGCTATAACAGAGATATCCCAGCTGGGTGGCTTTAATGAACAGAAGTTTATTTTCTCATAGTTTAGGAGGCTGTAAGTCCGAATTTGGGACGCCAGCTCTAGAGGAAGCCCTTCTCTCTCTGTCAGCTCTGGGGGAATGTCCTTGTTTCCTTTCAACTTCTCTTTCTCAGTTCCTTGGTGATCTCCACATGGCATCCATCTTTCTCCGCCTGTGCTTGCTTGCTTCCCTGCTTAATCTGCTCCTTTTATATCTCAAAAGTGATTGGTTTAAGACACACCCTGCACTGATGTGGCCTCATTAACATAACAAAGAAAACCCTATTTCCAGATTACATCCATGCATATAGGGGTTAGGATGCCAATGCATAGTTTTATGGGACACAATTCAGTCCATAACAGTAGGGTACCTAAGACTTCTTGTGATGCTGAAGGGAGTATATCCTGGCAGGGACCAGGATCCCTGGAGAGGTGAGCCAAACAGGACTCCAGAGGCGTTAAGGGGATTCTTCCAGCTTGGGTCTACAGGGCCCAATCCCAGGTCATATGGGCGGGTTTTCATTTCAGCTACAGGGATAGAAGGAGCTCTGGTGATGCAGTGGTTAAACTCTTGGCTCTTAACTGAAAGGTCAGCAGTTTGAACTCACCAGCTGGAGAAAGATGAGGCAGTCTGCTTCCGTAAAGACTTAAGGCCTTGGAAATCCTATGGGCAGTTCTACTGTGTCCTAAGGCAGTGGATTTGGCTTGGGTGGGTTTAGAGGGACAGGAATTGTTTCCAAAGGATTAAACATTAATAAGCATACAACCTTCATAAAGTATATCTTTGAGTATAAAATCTAATCCTACATAAAGGGTACTGAAAAAATGCTTCAGAAACCATCCCCAGAATGCCAGTTAAAAGGGACAGGCCCAATTCTGAGGGAAGTCTCTGGTGGTACGCCACAGAGCTCTGGCCTTGGTCCTTCATTTTGACTATTTTAAACATTTTTACCTGCAAGGTGAATAAAGGCAGGTGTGGCAAAATGGCAGGTGATACAAAGATAGGAGGGGAAGCGAAGAGTAGAATGATAGAATCAGGATTCAAAATGACCGCAACACACTGGAGCAATGGGCTGATGAAACTGAAAAAGGGTAAATATGAACTCCTACTTAGGGTTCAAGGAGCCCTGGTGGCACAGTGGTTAAAGCGCTCAGCTGCTAACCGAAAGGTTGGTAGTTTGATCCCACCAGCTGCTCCACGGGAGAAAGACGTAGCAGTCTGCTTCTGTAGATTTACAGCCTTGGAAACCCTACCGGGTGGTGCTACTCTGTCCCATAGGGTCACTATGAGAGGCACGGCAGTGGGTTTGGGTTTGGTACTTAGGGTTCAAATACCAGGTGCACCCAGAGAGTACAGGAGACTGTGCTTAAAGCAGTCCTTGTGAAAAATGCCTAGGGGTTCTAATGACAGGAGGCACAATATCAGTCAGCAGCGGATACACCTGGTACAAGTCAAATGAGCAGACAAACAAGACCCACAAAACAAACCTTAGGGTCCATGATGAATAGGATTAGAAGGTTTAAACAAAGAAGCAGACAGTTCCAGGGGACTCAGAATTCATCAAGCAACGTCTGAAGTTTTGCATCCAGTTCTCTGTCACATTCTAAAGGACATAGACCTATCAGAGCACCTCTAATCATTCCACAAACATATCTTAAGCCTGGAGCTGGGTACTAGGAATACAAAGATGAGAAGGTCATAGTCCCTGCCCTCGATGAGAAGGGACATGGAAACCAAGTCATCTGAGGAATGGAGGAAGGAACTGGGAATGTTTAACCTGAGAAAGAAAAGGGTTGGGGTGGGGGAGAAAAGGGAGAGAGTAACATAGGGACCATATTTGTAGGACTGCCGGAAGGAGGGCAAGATTAGACTGACTTTGGATGTTCCAGACAGTAGAACTCAGACTCTTAGAAGAATGGAGACTTAAGTTCTTGGAGGAAAAATATTTTAAATAATTAGAGCTGTCCAAAAATGGAATTGTTGCCTTGAGTGATGATGAGTTCCCCAACACTGAAGGTATTCAAGCATAGGCTACGTGATCACCTATCAGGAATGCCGTCAAGGGATTGTCACTCAGTAAGATTTCAATAGTTGGACTCTAAAGTTTTTTAAGAGGACATTGGTAGTTCAGAGGTAGAATTCTCGCCTTCCATGCAGGAGACCAGGGTTTGATTCCCAGCCAATGCACCTCATGTGCAGCCACCACTCATCTGTCTTTGGAGACTTGCATGTTGCTACGATCCTGAACAAGTTTCAGTGGAGCTTCCAGACTAAGATGGATTAGGAAGAAAAGCCTGCTGATCTACTTCCAAAAATCAGCCAGTGAAACCCCTATAAATAATAACAATCCGATCCACAAACGATTGTGGGGATGGCACAGGACTGGACAGTGTTTTGTTCCAGTGTGCATGGGGTCACCACGAGTTGAGGGTCAACTCCACAGCAGCTAACAACAACAACAACAAAAACCTTAAAATTCTAAGACGCTTTCTGGTATGAGACGCGTGAGATCTCTCCCCTCTATGGAAGAATGAAGGTAAGGTGTGAAATTTGGCTGAGTGGTACGGATGGGCAGAAGGCCATGGAAGGAAAGGTGTGACACTGGGAGAAACTGGCAAAGATGTTGGGTAGTTTTTAGAACTGTACAAACCAGAGATTTTGCGAACTGGGTTAAAAAAATTCAGAGTAGGTAGTTTTCAGATTTGAGTGTGTCTGTACATGTGCGTGTGTGTGCATGTGTGTTATTGTATAAATTAAAAAATGTTTAAACTCTGGATATTTTACATATAAATCCAGCTTTTCCGTTTCTGTTGAAAAGAACTGGAACACCTGTCCCAGTCTGCTTCCCACACAGGAGCAACGAGAAGGAGCTGATCAACAGCGCCCCCTTTAGGTGAAATATGGGCTGTCCTGAGCACTTCAGTCCCCACCACTCCCCAGCCAGGTCTCTCATCCACATTCTTCACTTGGCACCTGAAGGCATTTGGGTTTGCAGCCACTGTTCTGGAATTTCACATGAGCTCGTTGGAGATAGTAGCTTGGTACTTCACAGATACTGAGTAAGCTTTGTTAAAGGATCCTCGGGTGAAAAGAGGACCAATCAAGGGCAAAGGTTAATGATGAGCGTACCAGAATCCCCTAGCCTGGATTTGAACTCCTGAAGAAGCTTCCCTTAGAGCTCTATGCTTCAAATACCCCATGAGGCAGGCACCCCACTAAGCCAGGTTATGAGAAGTTGGCCGCCGTTGCTTTCATTTTAATAAATCAATGTGTGACAGTTACACTAACAGTGCCTCAAAACTGCTGGAATGATATCTTTTAGCATTCATTGTCTAACTATTACATAATTGGCTCACTGGCAACATTTATAATCTGATCGTTTTTTTCCCTTTTTTTTACCCAACGATGCTGATTAAGTTCCTTTATCTGCAGGTATGAAAATGAGCAGCCATTTCGAAAGGCAGCAGAAGAGGAAATTAACTCTCTGTATAAAGTCATTGATGAAGCTAATTTGACAAAAATGGATCTGGAGAGTCAAATAGAAAGCCTAAAAGAAGAACTTGGCTTTCTGTCAAGGAACTATGAAGAGGTAGGTGAGAACTGGGGTGACGCTGGGTTATCATATGACCCAGAGGCAATCAATCACCTGTGCTTGCTTCAAAATCCATGGTAGCTCATCTCGGCGTCTCGATGTCACTTGCCCAGGACTGCAAGGAAAAGGCAGGTAGAATATTTTAAAATCCTTGTAGTGGCTTAGGTTGAAGGCAGCGCTGGTTCAGCGGTAGAATTCTCGCCTTTCATGCGGGAGACCTGGGTTCGATTCCCAGCAAAGGCAACTCAGTGCAGCCACCACCCATTTGTCAATGGATGCTTGCCTGTTGCTGTGATGCTGAACAGGTTTCAGTGGAGCTTCCAGAATAAGAGACACTAGAAAGAAAGGCCTGGCAATCTACTTCCAAAAATCAGTCATTAAAACCCTATGGATTACCTGCAGGGAGACCTTTCTCTTGGCCGTGACAGCCTGCAGGCCTTCTCTAGGTCTCTGGTCCGCTCGGTCAAGTGTTACAGCTCTTTAGCTCAGCTGAGAGGAAACCTCATCTGCCAGCAAGGCTGCTGCCCAAAGGCACTCAACTCTCTCACTCTGTGGGTTGGCAAGCTCACTGCAGCCATCTGCGAGTCCTGTGGTTCTCACTGCTCCTGCTGCTGCTGACATTTCTTTGCTGCTGTGCTCTGCGGTGGTTGCCACCATTTCTCTGCTGCCTTGTGCCATTTTCAGTGTTACAGCTCTCTCTTTCCTGGGTCTAGGAGGTTCTCAGTGCAGGCACCCTGGGTTCAAGGGATGCACTCCGCTTCAGGCTCTTCCTGATGGTAGTGAGGTCCCCCCCACAACCTCTGTGGGATTGGCCTTTATATCCAATTTCAAGGCATGGCCCCCCAGCCAGACCATGAACTGACCAATCCCCTCAATACGCCACAATCACTCAGTTTGCATACTAATTGACCAATTCCCACAAAGTTATTTAATCCTACTGGATGGTTTTATGCGCCCTATTTGTATAGTATACTGGCCAATCCCTTGCAAGATTGTAGCCTAGCCAATCATTTTGGCAGAATTATAAACTCAAGGCCAGAAAGGCCATATAAAAGAGAAACCCACATTGCACTGCGCTGTGTAAGTGCATGCCCAGTTTAAACGTTGTTAACATGTATTAGGTTCTGCAACATGGAGAGAAACAGGGGAACAAGCAAGAAAATACTTAAAGTTCAGATTTAGAAGATTCCTCTCAGCTACTAACTAAAAGGTCGGATATTCAAGTCCACCCAGAGGTGCCTCAAAAAAAAAAGCCCTGATGATCTACTTCCAAAAAATCGGCCATTGAAAACCCTATGGAACAGAGTTCTACTCTGACACACATGGGGTTGCCATGAGTTAGAATCAACTTGACAACTTTTTTTTTAAATGTTTTCCCCAATAATGTATATTTTTAAAAAAATCAAATTCAAAAGTTTTGAAGTGTGAAATATGGCCTAAGAGACACAGGTAGCCAGGGTTTACAGGACATTGTATGAATCCACAAGTGCTTCCTAGAGATTCTGTAAGTAGTTCAAGCTTGCTACATTTTATAGTTTCACATGTCATCATTTCTACTAAAAAATTGTTTAGCTGTGACACCAATCCTGGTTACATTTATATTCACAATCCTATGATCTCCCAAGTAAAATTTCTCTAATCTACTTATCACAGAGCTAAAATGATAGGAAACACTAAATTTTAGACAATAAAAACTGTCAAAAATTAACCTGTCTGGTATCTTCTGATCTTGATTAGGTTATCATTAATATATGCCAACAATCAACTATAACAGGAAAAAAGATTCAAGTTATTACTGGTACAACAAACAAATGATTTAATGTAAAAAAAAACAAAAACCTATGGATTCCAAAGGTCCGATCCTGTTATATATGGGGTCATCATGAGTCAGAGACAAAGGCAGTTAACAACAACAGTCGGTCAGGTTACTGCAGGGATCTCAACACAAACGACTCTGGGGACCAGGCGAGTATATAAATGGGGAAGGCATCATGTCCAAGCAATAGTGAGCGACGGAGCCTGTGGTGAATTGGAAGGATCATCCCCTAACTAAAGACATTCCATTTCAGATCTTTTTTCAATACCGTATAGGACAAACAAAATAGCTGTGAGGGTAGTTCCAGCTTGTGGTTTACATGTACCCATTAATGAAATTAGGTCAGATCATAGAGTGATAGGACATTATGTGGACCAGTCCCCTGCAGAACTGCACTGATTCTAACCCAACTCACTGATTCTAAGCCTGATCTCTAAGGTACTGCCAATTGAGTCTACAACTTCCCTTCAAAACCCACGTAACAATGCTCACATCAAGAAGTTCCTTCTCAAGTCCAGCCTTAAGCTAACCAGGAACAAAGAGCACACTTTCTCCTTTTCTTAGCTCAGTAGTTAGATAGCACTCTCCGACAGAAACCCTTCAGAGACTCCAAAATTACTTTTAAATCTCCTTCAGCTTAGTCTGACTTTTTGCCTAAACTCACTTTGCTGCTGTTTTCATTTTCATTACATCCTTGGAAAAAGAGAATATGGGGTCTATGGGTGGAAGAGGATCAGGGACTTTGCCACATTTGGCAGTGACAGAATGAAAAATGTATTGCCTGCAGAGCTGAGCTTCTGCTGGCTAGAATTCGAGGTCCTTTCATGCTCTCCTGGAGCTCACATGAGGTGTCATTGTTGTTTTTAGGATGTGAAGGTGCTGTACAAACAGTTGGCAGGATGTGAGCTGGAACAAGTGGATGTTCCCATTGGCACTGGTCTGGAACACATCCTTGAGACCATCAGAACTTACTGGGAGAGAGATGTTGAAAAGAACCGAGTGGAGGCAGGAGCCTTGCTGCAAGCCAAGGTGAGAGGCAGGACCAGCATCCTCTCCTCTGCCCATGCAGAAGGATGCCTAGCAAAGACAAACACAGACAACACACAAAAAAGGAAATGCAATTGTTTAGCAATAAGTTCAATCTCATTAGGCATAGAAGAAATATAAATTACAATAATAGCTTTTTGCTTACCTGTTTAAAAGCAAAAAATGTTTTAAATGGTAATTATGCTGGCAAGTATGTGGAGAAGCAGACTCTTTCCTCTAGTATTGGGGAGCACAAACTGGTACAACACCTTTGAGTAAGGAATTTGGGGATGTGTACTGAGAGGCTTAAAGATGCCGATATCTACCAGTAAATAATCTGGACACTATCTTAAAGAAATAATTGAATATACAAATAAAGTTTATGTTCAAATATACTCAGTGAAGCATTATAAGAGTGAAAATATTGGGGGGGAACCTACATAAATGTTTAGTAACAGGAGAATAGTGACCTAAACCACAACCTAACCACGTGATAAAATATCAAGCAATGATTAGAAATGATATTTACAAAGCACTTTTAGTAACGTGGGAAAATGCTCATGCTATAAGGTAAAACGGAAAAAAAGAGAGTACAGAATGGTATACCCCAGGGGCCGGCAAACTTTTTCTGCAAAGGACCAGATAGCAAATATTTTAGGCTTTGTGGGACAGATGGTCTCTGTTGCAGCTACTTAACTCTGCCACTGTAGTGTGAAAACAGCTGCCAACAATATGTAAATGAATGAGTATGTATTCTAACAAAACTTTATTTACAAAACTAAGAGGTGGACTGAATTTGGCCTATGGGTTATAGTTTACCAACCTCCGGAATATACAGTGGAGTAAATCATGCAAACAAAAACAAACTAGGCATCGAGGTGGGAAAGAAAAGATTAAAATATTAAGTGTTAGCGGTGCTTATCTTTGATGATGGACCTATCTGACACTTTGAGATGTTTTTTTCTTTCATGTTTTGAGTGTTCCACAATTTTTTCTTAGGTAGCATTATTTATGTTCATGGGAAAACAACTTCTATTAAACCTCATGAATTATAAAGGAATTAACCAGAAAATAGAATACACAGTATTCATACTTCCCTTCAGAGCCCTAGTGGCACCAAGGTTAAGAGCTTGCCTGCGAGCCAGGTTTGCAGCTGAAATTCACCAGCCAGTCCTTGGAAATCTTATGGGGCAGCTCTACTCTGTCCTATAGGGCTGCTATGAGTCGGAATTGACTTGGCAGCAATGGGTTTGGGTTTTTTGTTTGTTTGTTTTATTCTTCCCTTCTCTATGCTGGGGTTCATGATTTTGGGGTTTTAAGGCAGAGGAAGAAAAGAGAAGAAGAGGAAGGAAAACAAGAAGCAAATCAGAAAAATAAGGCAGGTGTTTGAGAGAAGGCGAGAGAGTTGCTCCTGCACTCTTAGGAATCATGTGTTGTTGTTGTGTGCCATCAAGTTGATTCCGACTCAGAGTGACCCCGTAGGACAGAGTAGAGCTACCCTATATGGTTTCCAAGGCAGTAAATCTTCACAGAAGCAGAATGCCACATCTTCTTGCCGTGGAGCAGCTGGTGGGTTCAAACCACTGACCTTTCGATTAACAACCCAGCACTTAACCACCGTGCCACCAGGGCTCCTTAGGATTCATTTAGTGGTTTTCAACTCTGGCTGCGCAGCAGAGTTACTTCAGAGACTGTTTTTAAATGTCATGCCCAAGCCCAGACCAATAAAATCTGAAGGAAGGGAGGGGCTTTGTGATTTTAAAGCTGTCTGGGTGATTGTCACATGCGGCCAGGGTTGAGAACCATGAGAGTTATAAATGCTACCAAAAGAAAAATACGAGGACATTTCTGTTCTTTCCACCCTCAACGCCCCTGCCCTCTAAATACCAATAGGAACCTTCTCGGTAGGGGCTTCAATTCTGGATCTCTGAAGCGTTTTCCAGCCCAGAAAATACCTCTCACTCTCCCGTTTCTCTATCCCCTGTTGCTGTTAGTCACCACTGAGTTGGCTCTGACTCACGATGACCCAACGTACAACAGAATGAAACATTGCCTGGTCCTCACCATCTTCATGATCACTGGTATGCTTAAGTCCATTACTGCAGCCACTGTATATTTTGAGTGCCTTCCAGCCTAGGGGGCTCATCTTCCAGCACTATATCCAACAATGTTTTGTTGAGATCCATAGGGTTTTCATTGGCTTATTTTTTGAAGTAAATTAGCAGACCTTTCTTCCTAGTCTGTCTTAGTCTAGAAGCTCTGATGAAACCTGTCCATCACGATTGACTCTGCTGGTATTTGAAATACCGGTAGCATAGCTTCTAGGATCATAGAAACATGAAAGACACCAAAATACAATAATCTACCCCCTTTCAATAGCTTCTTTTCTTTGAAACCTTCAATTCTTTGGGCCAGGTCACTACAAACATTTTGTGTGTGTGTGGCAAATAGATGCCTAAGTAGCTAAACAAAATGCTGCCCCACCCAAGCATAGTGAGAGGTGGAACAACACTGAGGTGAGGTGGAACAACACAGAAGTAAGGTGAAGTGAAACCGCAGATTTGATTTTAGCCCATTTCTTCTTTTTTAAGATTCATGAATATTTATAATAATTAAGGACCTAAGAGACCACCGAATCCTATTCTCTCAATTTAAAGGTGAGGAAACCGAGACCCAGAGAGGGCAATGGCTTTCTCGAGGTCACACAGCTGATTGGCAGCACCACTGTCCAACTCTCCTGTCTCTGAGCTCAGCAGCCTTTACTCCACTTTGGGCCGTCATTTCTCTCTGACTTTATTCCCAAAGCCAAATCTCAGTGGCCCTGTGGTTTGCAAACTTGCTTCTCTCCCAACACTCCTGTGGGGTATACAACATCGTAGCAATTATTTTCTTGAGAAAGGGCGAAGCTATTATAATTGAAGGAAATAAATCCTGTACATTATGAACAGGGGTCCTTGGGTGGTGCAAACAGTTAACACGCTCTGCTGCTAACCGAAAGGTTGGAGATTCGAGTCCACCCAAAGGCACCTCAGAAAAAAGCCTGGTGATCTGCTTCTGAAAATCAGCCACTGAATACCCTATGGAGCACAGTTCTACTCTGACACACATGGGGTCTCCATGAGTCAGGGCCTCTATGAGTCAGGGTCACCTTCAGTCGGAGCTGACTCCAGGGCAACTAGTATAGTATGAAAAAAAAAAACACCTGGCATTATTCACCTCTCACCCGCTTGAAAATCCTCACCAGCCCAACAGTAACTCAAACGTTAATTCTGAACAGATTCATTTGTGCTTTTTTTAATAGAGTAATCTGAAAGCTACATCTCAGAGAAAACAGACAGTGCTTGTTTCAGTTCAGCCAGAGCTGCCTGGGCCTCTTGCAGAGAGGCAGAGCTCAGAAAATATTTGCAGAATGAGTGAATGCCTCTGATCATCAGCGGAGATCAGAGCTGACAGCCAGTGTGCCTCCAATAAATAGTTTTGTCAGTTGCAGCTGTGCCCTCGGGTGCTGACATTTGCCCATCCTGAGCTTCTCTTGTCGGGTTCTTGGCGGCAAAGCACAAATGTGAAATGGCTTAGCACACACTGCTTTCAAAAACTTGCAAAGAATATGCATACGTGCACTAAATTGCCTTTCCACCGAGGGATTAATTTATGTCTTAGTTTGGGTTGCCCCAGAAGCAGATCCTGAGACAAACAGTGAAATGGAGGTGGTTTATGTGGGAGTTGGGGGTAGGAGGACAGAAAATACTGGTCGAAGAGGAACAGAGAAGTGAGCAGAGAAGGACATAAAGGGCACGATGACCAACAACATCAAACCAGCTACTGGGGAGACTGGGAAAGGTATAGAATATGGGAGAGGGGAAAGGCAGGAATATAGCAGAGGGGAAAGGCAAGGGAGTTGAGTTGATCAAAAAGGAGATTATCGTGGGTGGGCCAGATGTTAGCCAGTACAAATGCTCTCAACGGGCTGTTTTATTTCTGGATTTTAGGTCTTTTAAAAGTAATTGATGGGGTGATTTCAGTGAGGAAGGGAGAGAGGGAGGGAGGCAGGAAAGGAGAGAAGGAGGGAAGGAAGGAAAGAAAGAAGGAAGGAAGTTTCTAGTTTTCCTGCAGCTAGGTTATTTCCACTAAATTTTTCTTTCACAGAATGCAACTATGTCAAAGATCCTTTATCACTGACAGGAAGAGGATGTTCTGGGTATTAAAAAGACACCTTCAAGATTATCAGGCAGTTATTGTCTTTCATGCCAGTGTTAGTATGTTGTAAGGAATAGTCAAATACTTATTCCACTTGATGCTTTTTCTTACAATATGTGAACCTCCGGGAAACAGGGCCACCCTACAGGCTAAGAATTTCCAAAACATCTGAGCCAAGCCTCTTGGGATTCAAAAGATTGGCCCCTCCCACTTCCATTTGCCCATGGATGGGATCAGAGCCCCACCAAGGCAGCAAGGTTTTCAGGTGTGTTACTGGTTTTCTACTACAGCATAACAAATTGCCACAAACTTAGAGGCTTAAAACAACATACTTTAATTATCTCATAGTTTCCACTGGTTAGGGGTCTACAGTTAGGGTCTTCTGCTCAGGGTCTCACAAGATCTTCTGCAATTAAGGTTTCAGGCAGGACTGCATTCTCATCTGGAGTTCAGGGGCCTCTTCCAAACATACTCAGGTAGTTGGCAGAATTCAGCTGCTTGCAGTTGTAGGACTGAGGCCCTCAACTCCACAGGCCAGTCACAACATGGCTGCTTGCTCCTTCAGAGCCAGCAGGAGAGAGTCACTCTTTTAAGGCTTTAATCTGATTAAATCAGGCCCACCCAGGATAATCTCACTTTTTATCAACTCAAAATCAACTGATTTGTGAAAAATCCCCTCACCCTTGTAATATAAAGTAACCTAATCACAGAAGGTCAGTGAAAAAGAGGAAGACCATCAATGAGATGGATTGACACAGTGGCTGCAACAATGGGCTCAAACAACAACTATGAGGATGGAACGGGAC